CGTGCCTTCTTGACTAGGTGCGGATGCTTCTTTATAGATCTTTCCATCTGCTGCAAAGTGATGTGGGAATGTTGAAGTACAAAGAAAATTTGGGATGCACCAATATTAAAATTCTGTTCACTAAAGATAGGCCAATAATTATTTTTCTGTTATTGCTGATTGAAAAAATAAAATAAAATAAAATAAAATAAAATAAAATCATGCTTCATCAACCCCAAATAACTCTTGAGTAAGTCGGTGAGAGAGAATGGGCCGTGTCTAAGCATGCTGCTCAATGTACAAATCAGATATTTGGAGCGTTAAACTGCAAACAAATCAATTCTAGGTTGAATAAGAGTGTGTGCGGTTCATCCAAATAGAGGTCAAAGAACCACCGCACTAAAAAAAAGGAGTGTTCCTAAAAGTGCCGGAAGGTTACCACATAACTGCAACAAGTAAGGATGCATACATCAAATTTCATTACTTAAGTACATTTCATAAAAAGGACCTTAATTACTTGTGAATCCCAGACAAGGTCACCTTGAATCATTATAATGGACACAAATTTTTCCTCTTGTCCTGTTTATTTTACTTTCTTTTTATTTAGATTTTTCCTCTATAATTAAACTATCAACAAGCACCAGAGAGCTCTCTATAAATAATGTTTTACAATACCAGTTACAGAAAAATCCTCGGTGGATGAGGTGGTTTGTGTAGCGCTTTTACAGCGAAGGTGACTATTCAGCTTAATGCAGTCCTCTAGGCAGGATATTTTCATTCATTAGTGTGGTCACAAGCACTTAAGGCACTTTAAGGATTGTTAGTGAGAGAAGAGATGGAGATGGCAGTCCAGTTTCACTGACTTGCGGTACAGTTCTAATAGGTCTGATTGAATTTGAGAGCGGTTGACTCTTAAGGCCCCGGTGCACATTCAATTAAGCGCATGTAAAGACGGGTATGAAATACAGTGTGCTCCTATATGAATGCATCCTTTCCAAGTATGTCCCAATATATGGCTACTTGACTGAAATCAAAAGACACTGTTTTACGAACAAAGCATTATGCTTCACTGCAGTACGTGCTGCCTACACAATAACATTTTCAAAGCTTATGATCCAAAGAGATCACGAGAGCCAAGGTTTGTTGAAAGGATGGAAGGAGATGGTTACATTTATGCTTGGCAATGGCAGTGATTTAAAAGTATGTTCAAACAAAGAACAGAAGCAGCAATAGATTCATCTTCTGCTACTGCAAGTTTGTAAATTACGACCTGCAGATTTGAGATTGTTAGTGTTACAGCAAATTTGAGGAGATTATTATTACTAGTTATTGATATACTGTATATTTCATCATTTCTTGCTGTTTCGTTGTGGGGTTAAAACCTACCACACTTTCCTACTATGTAGTATAAAAACGTCATTATAACAGATGAGCAATATGTACAAATGCGCAATATTTTAAAACAGTACGTGAACAACATTTGAATGACCTGCTACTATCCATCAAATGCAGTACACGATGTCAGATGCACTTCTAATTTGACCTTAAGCCAGTTAGCCAAGCAAGCTAATGAAAGGTTACAGTTGTTCCCTTAATAAGAGACTAAGATGAGTGATATTTATAGCTCATCCATTCTTTGCTTCTCATAACATAACAACATGCTTTGTCGTTAAGACAACACATGGCTCTCGCAATTGCTTTCGAAATCACGCAAGGGGTTAATCCTGCCATTTGAGGTACTGCGGGCTTGAAGATTCCCCTTACAGCTGCACCAAACTGAGACGTCCTCAAGGACGCAGAACCGCTCCATTCCAGCATCTCGGCACTAACGTATTGAACTCTGCATGCCTCTCGTCTCTCTCGAGCTCAATTAACTAATTTCTGTGCAACGGGGGAGATTGTGGCGTGAGGCGTGGAAGCATGAGGTCGGCTCTGTCTCCATTATTAAGGGCAGATTAACACAGCTGTACACTAGAAGTGAAGCACCCTCTCCTGCCTGCACTAAACATACGGGCCTTCAGGATTACGAGCTGCACTTGACCATTTAAATTACTGCAGCAACCGGCCATACCAGCTGGGGCTCATTAGTATAGCACCCTAGTACACAGAGGTCTGAGAGCACGTCTCAAAAAATACCTTACTAGAAACAACAGGAGGAACCTATGAGGGCACAAGCCCTTCACACTATCTCTGGTCACCATTAAGCTGGAGAGGTGAGAAAAAAGGAGGAAAAAATCACATCAAAAGATGATTTTTTTTTTTCAGTTAAATGTTATACAGCAAGTCACTTTAAGTGGTATTTCCAAAATTGCATTTTGTTTAATACGGTACCTTAATTGACAGACAGGCAAATTATAGGTGGAAATATTTTTAGAGAAAAAAATCTTAAATCAGTTCACAGAAATGTAGATTGCTGTTAAATTATTTCATCACACCGCCCAACAAAATGAAGCTCCTTTATGATAATGGATGGCCTGTCATGATTTTCTATATCAATTATGAATATGAAAATATTCATGACTGACAGCCTCTCACTCAGATTTATTTAATTTGTCCTATTTTCTTATTCAAAATATTTCTCTAACCCCTGGCGATAATGAAACCGACCATAGACAAATACGATTAAATTAATATGAAGACCTTCACAGAACGGGAGAGGGAAAAAAACTGTGAAGAAAAAATACTTTTAACTGAATTATGGCCTAATTTATTCTTCTGATTAAGTGTTCGGGCTAAGAGCTCCCCAGATGCTTAAATGAGACTAGTATCTCCCCAAGGAGCAATACTGTCTAAGTGTGTGTGTGTGCGCGCGTGTGTGTGTGTGTGTGTGTGTGTGTAATATTTGATTGTATAGGTTTCTGCTTTACACTAATTACGAGGAGAGGAACCGTTTCAGCAACTCTTTCCAGTATTTGCTTTTCGGTCGTTCTCCCAGAGGACTTGCTCCACTGCGGCATGATCTGCATCAAACTATTCATTCAAATTATTTAAAAATAAATACAACAAAATAAGAAATTTTTAGGGCTGCCACTAATGACTATTTTTATTTCGATTAATCTATCGATTAATTTCCCACACAAAAAATCAACAATTTTACTTAAGAATATTTTATTAAACTATATTTCATTAAACCAAATGAAATCCAAAAGTAAAAAAGTAAAGTGTAACATAGAGTGCAAGAAGCAAGCGTCCATCTCATAGTCCAAATCACTGAAATCAAAGTTCAGTATTATAGTATAAGAATGACAACATGTGTTCTAGTCTACTACTAATAAAATTATAATCAAAAAACACTTTTTAAAGGAGTATTTACCAGAAATATTATTTACCAGAATTTATTTAGGAGAAAAATGTAAATGTGCAGTATTTCTGAAAATAAAAATACTTTTTTTTTGTAATAAATAAAATCAATTAATTGGAGACGCTTTTGATTATTAAAATTTTATGGAACCATTAAAATGGAATCCAGAGAATAATGGAAAACAGAATTTGGTAAAGATAAAACTGTAAAACTCAATTAATTAGACAGGCTTTTTGATTAATA